CTTGTGTCCTCACGGACACCTGCAGATGCCTGTCCTCACTCGTTTTCACAGGATTTATGATGCCATTCAAATCATACTTCCAGAAGCGAGGCAAGTTAGCACCAAACCTGCGGCTCTGGAGCAAATTCCTGGCTCCAAGGAACCACAGGCTCCAGGGAGGTTGTGGAGCTAGGCCTGTGCTTTGATGTGCGAGGCCTTCTCTTTAATTAAAATAAGTATGAAAGAAAACCTGGCAGCCCTTCTGTCTGCACATCTGCCGGCTGCAGCTGCTGGCCGACCTTGGCTCCCCCAGGCCCCCCCAGCGACCCACAGCACCCGTGTTTTTGGCGTATGTGCCGTGAAGATAGTCCACAGGAGGGGCTGGGGTTGTCCTGGGTCACCTGTCAGTGATGGCAACCCAAAGGGTGAGCCAAGCGGGGCAGCCATCTGCCTCCTCTGCTCGCCAGAGTGGCCACGGCTCTGAAAGCTGTGTAGCCCTGCCTGCTACAGCCACCAGCTCAAGCTAATGCAGCTATGTTGTCAGGGGAAACTATTTGCTAAATAAAAGCTGTTTCCATACATTCGGGAACCTCAAATTTTGAGGGAGTTGGGAGGGGATGCTGGAGGGCAGAATGGAGAGATCTTGAATGTGGCCATGTCAGTTTACATCTGATTAGCACGAGTGGCGTTTGTCCTGTCGCTAAGATGGGCTGGGTATTTTTAGTTAGGTTTCCAACCGTGTCACTTCATTTGAAGGTCCTGTAGCCCTTACGACCTTGATGCATTTACCGTGTGAATTATTATTCACTTCTGTGGAAGGAACAAAATGTCATTATCTGTGAAGCACAGTGTAATCCCATAATCTCTCTAATCGGAATTTTGACTGCAATTTTTAAAAATAGGTCTGATGCTAAACATCTCTGGCAAAAATTTGCTGAGGAGGTGAATGTATTTACAGTGGCAAAACTCTGTGTGTGTCTCAGCACTTTTGCAAATTTCCTCCTGAAGTACTAGGCTGAAATTAGTTTTTATAGAAAACTAAATATCTTCATTAGTTCAATTTGCAAAATTATTTAATCTCTCTTTTCCTAATCCTGCCAATCATGATTTTTCAGATCTCCTTCTAATGGACTTTCTAAGTTTCAGGGGTAAGTGAGGCACAGGGAGACCTGCAGCCTCAGGGAGGACCAGAAGTTTAGCCCAGAGCCTGCTGTTAAAGCGCTGCCATTCCTCTTCTGGTCCATTGCAGAGCAGGGATTTAGTGCTCTGTGCTCTCTTTTTCCCCTTGCTCCTCTTCCCCTGGCTGTGCTGTGTCTCTAAGTCTGTGTGAACTGGAAGGAGGAGAATAGGAGAGAGCTGAAGGCATGATGGGGAAGATATTTTTAGCCAGAGTGGAAGTTCCAGTGACGTGAAGGAAAGACACAGTGAAAAGCCCTCTGAATACTTAACTCAGTCTAACATGAGCTGTTGCCTCTTTGTCACAAACAATCTGCTCCTATCTCACATTGTCTCTGCTGACGAAAGATGTGACTTTTGATTATTTTTCCAATCATGAGTGCAAAATGTATCCTTTTTTCCATAAATATATGTGGAGGGGTTATATATGTGAGAATCGGTGTATTCTGAAATTGATTCCTTCCTTCTGACTTTTTAATAAGTGTTGATTAAACCTTACCCTTTTTATGGTATTGATTCCCTCTGTTCCCAGTTTATTGACTTCATGGCAAATAATTTTTAGGTTTGTTTTTTTTTTTTTTCCCAATTATTTTCTTTTCATTCCCACCAAAGGGTGTGTTACTATGCACAACTGTCCCTTCTTGGAATAGATGTTAGCCTAGCTGAAATGTCTGTTTCTTCAATCTGCTGTTGCTTCCATTTCCATCTTCATTTGTCTGAAGCTGCCAGAAAGGGGAGAAAAAAATAAAAAAAGGTGGGGCAAGGTTTCTGTTACTGTTTCTTTACTTCCCAGCTGTTGATGCACACATAAAACAGCATGACTCATCTTGTACATCCTTTGATCTCCTGTGACTGATTTAGTGTTGCTTCTTGCCAGGCACAAGGTGGTTTTACTTTCTTTTGCAACTCTCCTTTTCAAAGTTTCTAGTCTCAGCTTTGAGAGAAAATAAGAAAGAAAGTAAATAGATAAACCAGCCTGGCTGAACACGGGGAGTATTTGCTTTCAGCTGTTCTTGACAATAGCTTTTGGATAACTGGTTTGTCAGGGGGAAAAAAAGTTCTTTTTTTCCTCCAGTTACTTTGATTGTGTATTTGATTTTTTTTTCTTTTTCCTTGACTTTTTTCCTTTTTTTTTTTTTTATTGTAAGCCTCTTCTTAAGGAATCTTTCCCATCCCTTGTCACATATTATTATTTGCAGAGAAACTTAGTTGCATGTGCAATGGGGGATATGCTCTCTCAGCCTTCCAGATTTTGAATTCAGTTTGTTCTCCTGGGTTTCAATGAAACAAGAAGTCTTAATCTTTAACTGCACGTCAGTCCAGCAGATGGTTCCAGCTAGAGATCTGTAATCAAGGCTTGCTTTAAGGAGCAATATGAAACCTAACAAAAATGTGGACATCAGTTCTGTTTAATGTATGTGTATTCTTTTTTGATTTGCTTTACAGTACAATACAATACAATCATTTGGGTTGGAAAAGACCTTTAAGATCATCGAGTCCAACCATTAACCTAATTCCACCAAGTCCACTGCTAAACCATGTTTAAATCTGTGAACTTTGTCTTTATTTCCTCTCGCATTTCTCACTCCTGAAACAGAACAAGGTGATTATGTCCAATTTGAAGTAGTTGCATCTAAGCTAATCCTGTCCTTGGAGGCGAAGGACGCCAGCTGCAGCCCCTGAGATGTGAAAGGGGAGCCTTCTGAGCTCTAGGTGCCCTCAAGCTGGTAGCACAGCTCTGCTTGCCTGTTCCCTCATCTGTAGACAGGATCTAACACTCCTTGCCTTTCCTTACTCGTGTTTCCCAGCTCATGAGACGCTTGTCAGGTGTGATTTCTTGTTGCTCAAAGGTTAATGATTTACTGTAGCCTCTTGTGAAAAGCAGAATGCTTTCCTTTCCCTTCATGCTGTGCTGAAGAGGGATATTCCTGCCGAGGGCTGAACCGGCATCTCGGAAGCGATGGCACGTCCCTCTCCCTCAGTGTTCCCCAACACCCACATGAAAAGGGCTCGTGGATGCTTTACGGACTGAAGCGTCTGGGCCCTCAGGCATTCAGGGTCTCTCTTCTGCTTTCAAGACCAGTTTCATGAGAATAACTTTTCCAGACAGCAGTGGTTGGGAATGATGATGCAGGTTTGCGTGGTGGAGAAGGCAGGACAACGTGGGAGGGCACAGTCCCCAACAAGCGCAGGAACGTCTTGAAGCTTTGAGCTTTTTCTCATCAGCTTTCTCTTTGGCTTACTTACCTTAGGGCTGGGCTTCAACATTGTTGGTGGGACAGATCAGCAGTACGTTTCCAATGACAGCAGCATCTATGTCAGCCGGATCAAAAAGGATGGGGCAGCTTACCTTGATGGGCGGCTACGAGAAGGAGATAAAATTTTAGCGGTAAGCCCTTTCTTCTGTCGCCCCGTGTGCTCGGGGAACACTCTGGCCAGTGAAGGGATGCAGGATGCAGGTTTGCTGTTGCAGCACACGGAGAGGAAGGATGTGGTGAATGCAGTTAGTTGATGCTGAGCAAACTCCGTGGAGGAGCTCTCCTGGAGGAGTGGGGAGAGCTTTGAGCACTAGGGAGGTGAGTGCCTCTAGACGTGGGCCCATCTCTTCTGCCTTCTTCATTTGTCTCAGCAGCACTCCTTGGTGCTGCATTTGTATCTCCTCTGTGACTTGCCTCTAAGATTTTAGGATCCATCAGAACCCTTTCTTGCTCACAGTGGATTGTCACTCACACACATGTAAATAAAGGTCTTCCACCTCTAAGTTTCCTTTTTTTTTGACTGGTAGTGTGTGATTACTGATCCTTTTTCTCAGGGTTTTTTTAAGCTAGAAAACTTGTAGGCCATAAAACTTCATTTCATCTTGTTTAGGGTAATACAAGCTGCTTCTCCTTTTAGAAAAATGTTTTAAAGTCTCTGAAGTTCAGTCCCACTGGTTCTTCAGGTAGTTGGCAGTCATACAAGATAATATGCTTTATAAATCAATGAGTGAAGAAGTAGCTTCTCCTACTGTGATACATGATCTTTTAATTCTCCTTAATTTTATTTTATGCTTCTTATGTTACACGTCTGATCTTTTTAGCCTGTGTAGAGTACCTTGTGCTAGTTGGAGCCTATTATTGATCCAGAAAATGGTATTAAGTTAAACTGAGAATATTATTCTATCTTTTCTTGACAGTTTAATATTTACTTGTGTGTTGGGGAGTCTAAATACCAAGAGAAGGGAGGGAGTGGATGTGATCTCATAGGATACAGCTGAAAGAGAAAACTTAGGGTGAATATCATTAGTTAGTGAATGAAATCAAGTAGGTCATAAAACCTTCTGCCATGAGATATTGTTTTAAATTAAGAAAAACCTTAACACTTTCAAGTGGATGCCAATGTGTTTGTCTTTCTTTTCTTTTGTTACATCAATATGCTTTTAAATGTCTGCAACACTCTTTCAAACAGAAAGGTTTCAAAGGTAGACCAGTAAAGGGAACAGTGTGGGAAAGAGACTCATAATAATAATTTTGCTGTAGCTGCTCTTTTATTTTCATTAGCTGTTGGAATTACACCTTTGATTTGTTTCCAATAAAGCAACAGCATAAGAAGCTTATTGATACAACTGCCATCTTATATTCTGGTTTTGCTTCTAGGTAGGTTTTTTTCCTGTACCTCTGTGTTCTGGCTTGCAGTTTGTCATGTTCTCTCTCAACATGTAAAAATACATCTATGCCACGAATGGATGAATATGGACCTTGCTGATGACAGTATCGTGCCCCAAATGCAGAATTTTGTGAAAGGGGAAGCTTTTTATCTCCTATCCTCCCTATATGAGCCTGCATCATTAAAACTGTGTTTTCTGCCCTTCAGCAGCTGCCTGTCCTTTTCCTGTCTTGGCAGGTGAATGGCAAAGAGCTGAAGGATTTGAGGCACAGGGATGCTGTGGAGCTGTTCCGGAACGCCGGCTACCACGTGGCGCTGAGAATTCAGCGCAGGGTATGTTGCACCTCTCTTCTTAGGGTTCCTTCTGACTCAGTTTGGGCTAGTTTCTATGACTGATAGCTCTCTCTTTCATGAGGCAGAAAAATAGCATGTCCAGGTGCTCAGTGTGAATTGTGCACGTAAAGATTTTGTTTGAACTGTGGTGTTCTCTAGTTGAGCACAGCTATAATCATCTGTGCATTGCATGTTTGTAGCAGTGTCAGTGAAGAGGTGGGTTTGGAGAAGTCCCAAGGTCTTTTTTTTGCTGGAGTATGGTGTGTTTTCTCACAGATCTCCTTTCTCAGAGCCCAAGGTTTGTCTTCACAGCCATTCTCAAGTTCTCCAGTTTTGTTTCAGGCACCAAAATCTTCCTGGAGACAACACTCCCATATTGTTTCAGAGGCCATTGCTCATGTTAGTATTGAGATTTGTGTGCAGCCCACCACTGCAAAAATAACATTGAGGTGCTGGAGCATGTCCAAATAAGGGTAATGAAGCTGGTGAAGCATCTAGAGAACAAGTTTTACAAGGAGTGGCTGAGGGAACTGGGACTGTTTAGCCTGGAGGAAAGGAGATTCAAGGTTACACCTTCTTTCTCCCTACAACTACGTGAAAGGAGGTTGTAGTGAGGTGGGGGCTGGTCTCTTTTCCTGAGTAACAAGCAGTAGGACAAGAGGAAACGGCTTCAACTTGCACAAGGGGAGGTGTTTCTGTGGTATATTAGGAAAAATTTCTTAACTGAAAGGGTTGTCAAGCCCCAGAACAGGCTGCTCAGGGAGGTGATGGAGACACCATCCCTGGAGGTAGACATGTGTAGACATGACACTTAGGGACATAGTTTAGTGGTGGACTTGGTAGTGTTAGGTTGGCGGTTGGACTTGATGATCTTAAAGGTCTTTTCCAACCTAAATGATTCTATGAAACGTGGGCTGCTGCAGTTTAAATGTTCTGACACCATTTTGGATATAAAAAGAGAGGAATCCTTAATCCACTGTTGTAATTTAAACATCCATGGCTAGCACTGAAGTTGACAAAGGAAAACTGATCAGCCTGAAGCGTGCTGGTGGGGAGAGGTGGATGGACCTCCTCTTCTACTCCTGTTTCCTCTCTTGAGGCCCCTTTTCTGCTCCTGTTTACCTCCTGTAAAGGAAAAAATCTAGATGAATGTACAGAGCAGGTAAGAAAAGCAGAGAGAATTAGAGATGCCCTTTTCCTGGTAAAGACCCCGGGGAATGGTGTGGTGGGAAGTGCACCAAAGGACTTCTGGGGGTGTGTGTGTCATGGCTTCTGCCGTGAGACGTGCCCTGCCCCAGCTGCTAGTCCTAGTTTACAAGGTGGCAGAGACACATGAGAGTGCCTGGTAGTGATGTACCCTGCAGTAAAGCAGAGTCCATCCAAATCCCTTCTGAGCCTCCCACGTGTGCAGGTACCTGGAGAAACCATCTCTGACACCCTCCCAGAGCCACAGGCTCCTGACGCAGAACCAGGGGCTCTCCCGTTGCCATGGGCTCTGACACAAATACTCTTTTTTTCCTTGTAGTTGCAGCCCCAGAATGGCCCTGTGGGTCATGGAGGTGATGGAGAATCAGGTGGGCTTCCTCTGGCAGCCATTCTTGTGCCAGGCCTGGCACTTGCTGCAGCAGCAGTGTGGATCGTGCTGAGGTATCGACAGCGGATGTGAAGAGTTCACCTTTTGGATGTCACTGCTGATCTTACACAGCTACGATGTAATTTAATGGTAGAGAATCAACGATCTTGTCACAGACTGATGTCAAAAAGGATCATTGCCTATCTTAAAGCTGCTGCTGATGTTCTTTATCTATAGATTTTGTTGCAGGGTGGATGGAAACGGAGAGAAAGAAGGGGGAGGGAAATGACTGTGTTTATGTATAGAGTGGGAGGGCTGTTTTTTTGACAAATCTGGGGAGGTTTTGCTGTCTGCCTCTATTTTGCACCATGAACTTTCAAATATGCTGATGTAGTCCACCTTTTACGATGTCACTTCTGGTAAAAGGGAGTGGGAGTTGGGGTGGTTTTAAATCAAAGATGTTTATTAGAGGCTTTCCCTTGTTTCCACTGAATTTTCATGAAACTAATGATCCCTGCCCGAACCATAAATAAAGATAAGCAATGTGGAGGGTATATTATTTTTCCCATTGAATTTTTGTTGTTGCTAAATAAATAACTTAAGAAAAAGTTATAAAATATAATCTGTGGTTTCACAGGTAAAATCATCAGTGTGGCTGCTGATTTAACAGTAATATTCTGCCAGTTCTGGAAAGACAGAAGATAGCCTGCTGGTAGAAAAAAGACTTGGATTTTCAGAATGGCTGCTCATTCTTGGGTCAGAGTTGTAAGAGGAAGCCTTCCACAAAATGCTGGCATACCAGAGAGAGGCAGGCAGACAACTGAATCACAAGGATATGCAGTAGCAAAAGATTTGGGTGTGCTGAAGCTACAGAAGAGTCTTTTATTAGTAATGAAGCCATAGTCCCTCCCTCCATTGAGTAGGTTGGGGTCTGCATGTCTCAGGTTAAAGGTCTATATTGAGGGTTATTTTTTGCATGGGGAATACTTTAGATAAAGTTTTCTGTAGCAGCCAACTTGCTCTTTGCAGTCAGAAGACCTTAGGGTGAATGAAAGGGAGAAGTGGAGGGCAGGCTGGGATCGTCCTGGCTATTGCTTGTTTGTGAGGACTGATGAGATGTTCAAGCGATAGACTGGCAGGTGGAGGCCAGGGTGGGGCTCAGCGAGTAAAACCAAAGGGAGAGACCCTTGCTCTGGAAAGTGTGTTGCTGAATTTACCTGCAGGATCTCATCTCCTCACTGTGAGTTTAACAGTTTTAAACACCCCAGCTGATGTGAGCTTTGTGGGCTAAGACCTGCTGCTCTCGTCTCCAAGAAATCAATGTGTTTGTTGTTTTTGTCAAAGAAAAGCAAAATGCATGGTCTGGTCTGTATGGTGCCAAAAAAAAAATCACATAGCAATATATGTTTTCAAACAAAGAAAAACTGGTGTCTTGGTGCTTTACTTGTCTCTGTTCCTTACTGTTCTAGCAGAAGACTGCTGATGTATTTGACATTGTTGTGTGTTTGCTCAGGGCTGTGTTCCTGCTGTCTGCTGGGGACAGAAGTGGTGTGCTGTTATTCATGATGTTCCTAAATCACTACAGAGTTCCAGAGCACTGGGATCACATGAAGTCTTGCTTTGGCCTATAAACTGCTCTGCTGTAAGGGGAAGAGGATACAGGAGGAATTTTGCTCGGTGTTCTGAGGGGACTTCAGGAGCAGACTTGACATTTGGTGAATGTATATTGGCGTTGGACAGCCTGGGCTGATGTTTGCAGTGATGTGCCTTGGCCTACAAACTAGTTACACCTGGCAGTAGAAGGGCTGCTTTTGGGACAGATGTTTGCAGATCCAGCATGAGCCACGTTGCTCATCTGTGACATGCTCTGAATATTTGGCTGTGGTGTCTGTGTGCAGCACACGCCTGTATCAAGAGGGATGATGAGAAGTTGGTGCTGTTATATCACAGCCATCAGAATAAAGATGCAGACAGTGAGAAAAAAGTCTGGGACAAACCTCATGCCTGAGTCAAGGTTCTGTGAGAGGGAGTGTGTGGAACAGGCTAGGAGGATGAGGATTTGTGAAAGGGAGTGGTTACCTTTACTCATTTCCCACTGAGGTAAGCTGAGAAAGCAAAGCTTTTGGGTTTTTTTTTCTTTTTTGCTTTATTTACCTTGCAGCTTTGGGCTTTGGTACTGTTCAGACAGGATTGCTGTCTGTCTTGCAGGCAGATTATTACAGGGGGAGAGTTATACCCAATGCCTAGGTAATTGATGTGGCTTACTGAGCAAGAAAAGGCCTTTCTGATGCAGTGTTCCCTTGGATTTCTTGTGCCAATTACTGAGTAATTTTAATACCACATCATTAACTTGGCTTTTCCAGAAGTCTGAACAGTAGTTTTTACTCAGAATTTAGACGATCCAGCCTAACCCTCAGAAACACCTCTCTGTGTCTGCCACCTTCAAACCAGTGCCTGAGGAGTACCAAACAATCCCTTTTCCAACCCCCAGCTACCTCTTGTTGCATTTATTGACAAAATTCTTGTGGAAAAAATACACCTCAACCCTCAAACTCTCCTGTGAGCTGTGGCTCATACTACTTTCTCTCAGCAGCTGGACTGTCTCACCTAAATTTTGTATGTTTTCCACAGTCTTTTCCACTGTGTGGTTTCTGTAACCTTCAGTTTCATCTTTGTACTGAATGCTGTATATAGATTTCCTGTCATTGCAGAAGAGGTGAATTTAAAAAAACATCTAATGAGGACAGCTTATAAATGCAAGTGATCAAAGAAAGTTTTAGCTTTTGATACAACTTTAATCTCTGTGTTTTGAAAAAAAAAAGACAAGTTGCCATCTTGAAGATACACATGAAAAGCATCCTATTATTTGTAAGTTTGGGTTTTTTAAGAACTCCTTTGCAACTAATACTGAGGGCAGCTGAAACTCTTAAATCTCCATGTTTCTGTCCCACTTTCATCTGTTCCCTCAACCTTATTGTGAACTTACTGACCTACTGAAGCCTGGATTTTCATATTCATAGTTTAAAGATAAATCCATTTAGTTTGACTTCCTCTCTATTCCAGG